GGGGGGGGGGGGGGAAGACATACAAAGGGAGACTCAAAAGTTGAAAATGCATTAGAAATGAGACAAAGCACAAAAAACAGCCGTCGTACTACTTCCTCCTCCTCTGCAACCTTCGTTGTCCCTCCTTCTCCTCCTCCTCATCCATGTCCCTCCTCTTCTTCGCTGTTGACCCTCGTCCTCCTGCTCCCTCCACCGCCACAGTGATACCCTCCCTCTTTTCCCTCTTCCCCAGCCCTCGTCCTCCGACTCCTCCCTCACTGCTATGGCCGCACTCCTCCCTCTTCTCCTTCTCCCTCCTCTGCATCCCTCACCTCCTCTCACCTCTATGACCGCACTCCTCCCTCCTCCGCACCCCTCGTCCTCCTCTCACTGTTACGGCCGCCCTCCGCCCTCCTACTCCTAGCCACGTATCACTTCGAAGGCCGACGACGCAAAGGGTGGCAGCTTCTCTTGGAGAGTACAACAACAACGTGAGCGGGAGGAACAATCAGGGCGAATCCTCCCTGCTCTGGCGGCCTATTGTAGGCACCAACCCGATTTCGCCCAGCCAACTGTTGGCACCATCTGGCATCGTCCGTTTGGCCAAAAAATGGGGGCAAAAGTACCATTTTTGGGGGGGTGCCTAGGACCCGGCAAAGGTCCTAGGTGCCACCTTTCTGTTTTTTCAAAATTTCCTTTTGGGGAGCGCTATCCAGACCTACCAGAGCAGACACAGGACCCAGACAACTAACTGGATCCAGTCCGTCTGGATCCCTGTCCAGACGTTCGGCCGGTTACCATGGCAGAAGGCCTTATCCAAAAAAAAATGGAGGTCGATTGCTCCGCCTGCGGTAGGGAACAGACAAGCACTCATCCATCACAAGATTCACAAAGCCATTAAACTCTCCTCAAATGGCTCGAGCCATCTTCCATCGCTACCCTAAGTACCCTTCATTCAAAAGTTTCAGATAGTTCTTGATTCGAATTTCGAACCCTTGATTTGTTTATAGTACTTTATACCAAGAGTTACACGTGTGTTCAACCTGCAGCCGCCTGACAGGGATGGGGTGCCTTTTTGTTTTTGGAAAGTTGCATGATTTTCCATAACCTGATTTGGGCTGCAAAACCTTTGAAAACTGAAATGGCATCAATTTGAGCACTACTGCATACTCAAAAGTTCGTTTATAATTTTTTTGGTGGAGTCAGAGCTCACCATGGCAAAGAGATCCCGCCATTTCATGCTACTCGGAAGAAATTTGTCGAAAGCATGAGACATCATCTTGTCCGTGTAATGAAAATCGGAATTCGTTATCAGCAGTAGCTGTTTGCCTGCCTGCACACAACAGGAAGGAGGAGCAATTGACGACAACACGCCAATCCATCATCATCCATCCATTGATTAGTTGCAACCAAAAAAAGCAGCAACTGAAAACACAGATATACGGCAAAACTTAACACATGCGATTGAAAGTCAATCGACAATCCAAACAAATAATTTGCTTGCAGCACTTGAAAGTTCAAACGGATTGGAACGGAGAAAGTGAAAGCGCATAGGTAACCTATGTGCAGCAAATTCGAATGGATGATCTACCCAAAAAAAAAAAAAAAAAGGATGATCTACAGTGTGGCATGTTCTCGTGGGTAGCAGAGAAGAAAGGCAAGCATAGACAACCAATTCCCACATCCAGGGGAGCATCCAAAAAATGGCACGACACATTTTCGTGTAAGACAGAAAAAAGGCGGGGGCCGGCATGCTTTCAGGTACTCAAGGGTATGTACTATATACAGCTATAAATAGTGTGAAAAAAACTGTCCCCCCCCCCGAAAAAAAAAAGAGGATTCTGGTCACAACTTCACGTGGAACAGAGAGGATAAACAGCATGCTTCCAAGACACGAGTGAAAAACAGAAATAAATTCCAATAATAAATTTAATAGAATGTAAATATTAATTATTCAAGAATTGAAAATATTTATATACGAAATCACGAATCAGTGAAAGACAAAATTTTCTTTTCCTTTTTTCCAAAATCCCAATAGGCGTGCCAAATGTAGATGTCATCTAGTTCTCTAGGACCTCGGGATCTGAGCCACAAGGGGGGTGGGGGGATGAAGGACCAGCAGTGGCAACGACACAAAAAGAATAACAACAATAACAAACACAAAAAAGCAGAAGTGCGGGTACTGGACTAAAATGAACTGTCATGACTCGTTCGTGAGTGTAATTCCATCCACACAACAAGGAAGAGACATTCATTCCTCATCCCAACCCATTGCATGTTTCCGTTTTCCCTGCATTCACTTCCTTGATCTCTCCTCACCATCCTCTCCCCTCGCTCCACCCACAATACACACACAGGCGACATGGCGAGTCCTTAAAGACATCCCTCAGTAGAATTCATCATGGGCATACTGTCGGGGTTCAACCTCCCGATCACTGGGTGAAATCCCGACGAAACAATCTAGCACAGCCATGCATATTTTGTCGAGTTGTGTACATCGAACACACACACACACACACACACACACACAC